ATTTGTGGGTTGCCTTTTCACTTTGTTGGTAATTTCTTTTGACGTGAAAAAACTTCTCAGTAAGAGCAGGTCCCAGTTGTTAGTTCTTTCAACTATTTCCCATGTGATTTGATTTCTGTCCATGAACTCTTTGCCTACCCCTATGTCTTCAAGAATTCCTCCTACCTTCTCTTCCAGGAGATTTAGTGTCTCTGCTTTAATGTTTAGATCTTTAATCCATTTTGACTTTAGTTTAGTGCATAGTGATAGACCTGGGTCAAGTTTGAGATTTCGGCATATAGAGAGCCAGTTTTTCCAGCACCATTGGTTAAAGAGGCTATCTTTCTTCCAGTGAGTATGTTTGGCCCTTTTGTCAAAGATAAGGTGACTGAGTGTGTTCGTAGGGGCCTTAGCGTCTTCTAATCTATTCCATTGATCCTCAGATCTATTTTGTTGCCAGTACCATGCTGATTTTATCAGAGTAGCCTTGTAGTATAATTTCAAGTTAGGAATTATAATGCCTCCTGCCTTGTCTTTATTGCCCAGAATTATCTTTGCTATTCTGGATCTTTTTTGGTTCCAGATAAATTTCAGTAATGATTTCTCTATGTCTGTGAGGTATGGCAGTGATAGTCTGATAGGGATTGCATTAAATCTGTACAGCAGTTTTGGGAGTATAGCCATCTTCACAATGTTGGTTCTTCCTATCCAGGAGCATGGGATATCTTTCCATTTTCTGAAATCCTCTACGATCTCTTTTTGCAGAGTACTGTAATTTTCCTTGCAAAGATCTTTGACTTCTTTAGTTAGATTAGTTCCAAGGTATTTCATTTTCCTCGGTGCTATTGTAAAAGGTATTGTTTCTTTAATTTCTCTCTCAGTGTGTTTGTCGTCTGTGTAGAGGATGCTATTGACTTTTGGGTATTGACCTTATAACCTGCTGTGCTACTGAATTTCTGTATTAATTGTAGTAGCTTCTTGGTGGAGTTTTTTGGGTCTTCCAAGTAAAGTATCATGTCATCTGCAAGAAAGATAATTTAACTTCTTCTTTG